TACTTTACATTTTACAGTCTTGCTTTGATCCTTTCCCCAAACACTGAGAAAGCAGATTGCCAGAACATTCTTTCTGGTGTTAACCATGGAAGGAGGGCAAGCTGTTCATGTGAATCCATTTCACTCTGTATTGTCATAAGAAATTTTGATTTTATTTGTCTCTTGTGTTATAACAGTTTCTCTGCCTGTTCATAAACCATTCCTCTATGCTATAAACAAATACAGAGTGTTGGCTAGGGTAAAGAACTTCATATTTGAATTTAAGCTAGTATCCTTGTGTTTCTCTTAATGGTTTTGCTAGCACTTCTGGTATGTTCTATTCCTTAACTTAGTGCTTCTTTCAAGGGCATGATTAATATCACCTCCCATTTTATAGTTGAGGAATCAAAGCTTTTTATTGGTGTTGAATGTTAAATTTTTCAGACCCATCTTAGCTTCCCCTGCTGAACTCTCTTACTCTCAAAAACATTGAACAGCGTGCATTTTCTGGACCCTTTACCACACAAACAAGTCCCAGGATAACCTTTCAGTGGAACAATTAGCAAATGATTAAATTTATCTCATGAGCCGATGTTTCACTTGGTTTTTGATATCTTAGTTGTGGCTAGGCTCAGTTCTGATCCTGCCTATCACTTGAAGGACATCAATCAACTAAGTGCTGCCTGTGAGATTTTAAAAGCCATACATTTGCCTAAAGATGATGCTTTCTGGTCATTCGGGCATTGTGCTCCTTGTTTGTGGAATATGTGGCTAAGCCTTTGCTTTACTGAAGGTGTATTGGTTTTGATTTGCTTGGCCCATTTTGTCTCAGCTTCTGATTGTGTATTTGCATTACGTATTTCTTCCTTTGGTGTTGTGGGATCAGGCCTATTCTTTCATTTCTGACGAAAAGTGCTAAAATGATAAACAGTTGTTTATCCTTATCCAGGCGACTGCCAAAGTGTATGCAGGGGAAAAAAATAATGGAGGCTATGTCTGCACAAGACTGTAAAGTAGCCAAGATTAGCATCCCCCTTTTCCTCCCCACCCAGAAGAAATCATCAGAAGAAATTAGCAAGGTGTCCATGGTGAATAAGTAAATATGCGCATAATCAGCTCATATTTTTAAAGAAAAAAAAGGCTCTGATAATGAGGGAGATGGGGTATGACAATGACCAGCATAAAATAAATTTATTCAAATAATAATGGAGGAACACTGTGAGGAGATTAAATGACTGTTTAATGAAGTACAAATCATGGCACAAGAATGCCAAAAAAACACCATTCTAAACTCAGCACTTTGGACAATAAAACGTGGGTTTTAATATTATGAAGCACATACACAAAAAGAAAAATAGCATTGGCATTATATAGTAGCAACCATTTCTTCTTTGTGAATGAATTCATCTATTTCCTTTTCAATCCTCAGTTGAGGATTGAATCATCCCAATTGTAAAATAGGCCCAAACAACTGGAGATTGCAAGTCATGATTTCTACTGGCAGCAACTGCCACAATTTATTCATTTTAATTTATTAATCAATTTGTATATTTCCTATTGTAGGCCATTAAGTCTGATTTTTGCGGTAATTATCTATCTATCTATCTATCTATCTATCTATCTATCTATCTATCTAT